CACACACACACACACACACACACACACACACACACACACACACACACACACACACACACACACTGCCTCTGTCATCAGCTCATGTGTTAAAGGTGCGGACGCAGTGACATGTTGACACCGACTCTGTTGTTGTTACCTCATGTTGTGTTGAAAAGACGACGCTCGGTTTATTGTCCTGAACGACAGACGTGTTGAAAATATTTTATAGATCTCACACACACGCACACGCACACACACACACATGCAGAGCAGCCTCATCATTCGTCCGAGTGTTTTTATTATTTCTCCTGAACCGAATCGAAGCCTCTCGTCGTGTTTTTGTTCGTCTGTTGCCGTGTCGACTCTGGACGCTGTGACGCTGTCGGACCGAACAAGTGTTCGATGCCAACGAGCAGCACGGAGAGCAAGAGGCTGTAACAGAACTATGAGTTATTTCCAGAGCTGATCAGATGATTAGTGATCAACTGAAAATCAATATTCTGCTTTTTACTTAACTGTAAATTACTTTCTACTCTTTGTTACTTTTGTTTGGATAAAAGAAGACGTGAGGGACGGGACTTTTAGTGGAGATGAAACCAGCAGATGAATAAATTGTAAAATTAGAGATTAATATTTGTTATAGTGTTTGGGATTTTCTGTTTATATCAATCTAATATAAATAAACTTGATGTGTTTAGAGTTAGTTGGATAAAACTATGAAAAAAAGAGGATTTGAAGACAATTTAAACAAAGTTTGTGATTTTATGACTGAAACTTCTAAACTTCAGTGAAGTAGAAAAACTCAGATCACACGTGTGGTCGTTCATGTATATGTACGATCGCGTGCAAACATTCGCAGATTCATTATTTGTGTTCAAGAACATATTTGCATGTGCTTCTCTGTGTGTGTGTGTGTGTGTGTGTGTGTGTGAGAGGTGTTTATGCCTCATCTCCTCCTCCCCCCTCTCTCCACTGTAATAAACAATAACCGGGCATTAATCTCCCGGCCTGCTGCCTTAATAAATAATATCCACACATTCATCAACTTAAACTATTCACAATCAATGCAGCTCTTCATAGAAAACCCACCTAATAAATAGTGGTGCAGCCCACTGAGGCGTGAACTTATAGACCAGCCGGCTGATAAATGAACCCACCCCCACGGCGAGACGCCTTTTATGTGAAAAACTGCAAGTGAGAATTTTTCGATTTTATATTACACTATTTTACTCTTATTACTTTCCTGTGTGTGTGTGTGTGTGTGTGTGTGTGTGTGTGTGTGTGTGTGTGTGTGTGTGTGTGTGTG